ATTATCACGTGACATATGAAGTAATGTATATTTGTGAAAAATTTTGATTTAGAATAATTTCCAGGCCACCCCTAGCAACAATTTTACCTTGGCCGCAGTTGGGCTCAAAATTGGCTTCATATCGATCCTAGAAGAAATTGCATCAAGGGACCAATATTGGGATGTGTGAATTTTTTTATATTAGGTCCTGGAATGGTCTATATATGGCCTACATTGGCCAATATAGGGCCTATATTGGCTAAATAATGTATATAAAATATCAGGTGAATCTAACAATTCAATATAGGACCGATATTGGTTGTAAAGTGGCTGTAAAATATCGGGAGAATAAGAAAATTCTATGCAGGGAAAAATAACGGCCCTTCGAAATCTTATTGAGTCAAGATACATGAATATTGGCCCAATGAGAGATCAAGTTATTTTGCAGCTGAGGATGCTTGGGGTAGGTTTGGAGAACACAAAAATTTAATTTCGAAAGAAATTGAGTCAAACAATACAAAATAGTTCATAACTTTTGTTCTCTCACGGGTGATTTTCGCTTCTGGATATTTAATACTTGAATGAATTCCCACTGGTAATTTAACACTGTTTTTATTTTATCTTTGCATTGAGGAAACTGAACTATAAGTTAAATTTTTTCACGTATTATAACTTTATTCATACCATTTAGCAGTTGTTGTTTTTTTTAAAACGTACTTGTTACTGTTCATAATACCCAAAAACTCTGTTCAGAACTTACTCTTTGAATATTTTTGGAACTGATGCTTTTAACAAATGGAACCCATAGCCATTCTAGGAAGAAAAAAATATTAACATAAAAAAGCATGACTTATCTTTCTTTTTTCACCAAAATTAAAATAATATTAAAAAACTTTCGTTACCTCTGGCACATATCCTAGTAAATTCTCGAAGTTACATCCGGATATATGAGAGCTATTACCTTAAATAATAATGATATTTGGTTAAATAAAAATTAAATGTATAGAATAAATATTTGAAGTATTAGAAATCTTAAAATTTTACCTAAACTTCTCATCCTTTCTCCGAATAAATGCATCTCATAATCTGGATCTTCATTTATAGAAACTGTTCCTCTTATATTCCCCACCTGGCAATAGAAATTCATGCTCTCGGCGACTCTGGCAAAACGATATTTTATTATAACAACGATATTTTATTATAATAACTATAAAACGATATTTTATTTTATTTCGTAACTGTCTTTACATGGCCGACCCAACTTTTTGGGTCGGTTGAATAGTTCCTGAGAAATCGAGTTTTAAATATCTGACTTTTTTAAAATTCAATTTCTCAGGCACTTTTCAACCGATTATGCTTAATTTTTTTTTTATTTTGCCATGTAAAATTATATTCCTTAAAATTATTAAAAAAACTGTATACCTTACGGTTCAAAAATGTTTCGAATATTATTAAGTGAAATATTAAAAAAATAATGAATATTTACTAAAAGTTATTTTTTGCAAGGAATTATCTCTGAATAAACAAATTTTATAATTTTGTGCAAAAATGTTTAAATTCTCTTAAAAAATTCTCAAGATATGGCGAAATACGCAAAAAGTAAAATTAACATTAAGGGATTCAAACTTTGAAGCCCTCTCCTGACCAAACTATTGGGACAACATTTCTCCTGATTGCGGCTACCCTCTATATTTTTGGGGTTAGAAATCCAAGTCCGTCGAAGAAAAGGCATGTTTATTCAATGAAAGTGCGTTTTTGTATCTCATTTTGTAACCTAAACCATCGTTCGCGCTTATTAATTAGCACATTTGTGATTAACTCCTTGAGCCATAAGAAAGAGTCCTAGACCGTAAAGATCCGATCATTAGATCAAAAATTATTCAAGGTGATTCGTTTACTTCTTTGTTTATTTATTTTATTTTTTCTTATTTATTTATTTTTTGGCATACTGTACACTATTTTTGACTTTTGCAAAGCAGTTACTGGAAACATACAGATGCTATGAAAATACATCTTATGTTTGAAAATTTAATTTAAAATGTTGCTATTACAAGTATTTCGTCTTTTTTGGATATGTAACAGCCCTGACACAACTAGACTCTCTGTTTAAACTGATTATACGTAGTGGTGTGGCCAAAATAATTGTAAATCAGTTTTGTTAGGTCTTAAATAAAATGCTAAATCGTAAAATTTACTTCAATCTGAAATGTTAAAAAAAAATCTCCAATTTAAACAGGATGTTTTGGGTTGCTTGCACGTCATAATACCGTTAAAAAAATTGGCTTCTCCTGTTTACGTAATAAACCGTTTCACTCTATAAGGCAGGCTGTTGTACTTTTTTATTGAAAAATAATCTTAGTCTTTACTTACTTTTGAACCGGGGGTTGAAAAAGAGAGTCCCATTCAGATTTAGCAATAGCGCTGGTAAATCCTGTTGGGTTAGTATCGAGTGTTGGATCATACACATCAGACGAAGCATTCCATCTGTGAATTTTAAAATATTAAATAATATTAACAAAGGCATTAAAAAAATTTTAAAATATGGTTACCAGTGATACAAAATAATTTAAGAGTAATCGATTTCAATGCATGTTATAATTGAAAATTGTTTATTTTTTAAAAACTATTTTAAAAATGAAACCAAAAAAATTAGTAGTTAGCTTACAAGAAGACGAATTTCACAAAAGTTTTTCCATCGTGTGCTTCTTTATTCTCTGATTTCCGCCTGCAAAAATAAATAAATATTAATAATAAGTTTGCTATATTGAGAAAAGGAAAAGAAATTAATGAATTTCGAAAATATTTATTTCAAAATGATTCTGAAAAAGGTTACTATCAACTTAAAACGAATGGATCCTTTTTTGTTTTGAGAAATAGAGCGGAAAAGAAATAGGTTTGCTACCACTTTTTAAACTTTTGTATGGATTCCAAAAATTTCAAAAACGTATTATCACGTGACCCGATTGCAATGTGTTAACAATTTTTTAAAAAAAAAAATCTGCTTTCAAAACACTGAAAACAGCAGCAGTAACTACAACCTTTTACTTTGTTTTTAAATTAACTTCTCCATGCACATGGTCACCATTAGAGTATCTCACCAATTACAGGGTGACCCAAAACTGTAAGGGTGAATAGTGACAGACTTTTTCCAAGACTCTTTAAAATTTCATAAAATTAACAATCCAATTTTATAAAATCAGTTTTGAAGTTTCCCCACCACGATAAACGAAATGAAACATTTTTAGCATTTTTTTTTTAGATATAAATAGAGTAAATTCTAGATATCTTGAAAATCATGTTATGTCAAAACAATATTTTTCTCCTTGGCTTAATATATCCACCTAAGGTTAATTTAAATTCCTATGTCGAAGAGTTTCTTCTCAAAACTTTGCAATGACAATTCTTTTTTCGCAATAGAAATTTAATTTTTTCGGAAAAGTCTTATTGTAAAATTATTGTACACACCAAATCGTTTCTATTTAGTGCAAATTTTCTTCGTCTCACGTTTAAAAACAAAATTATCATTGTTGTATTTAGCCTTATAGTCAACTATCATTACATACATATTTATTAGTAGTTATTCCTATGTTTCTTGTCTCTACTTTTTTAGAGTGTAATATCTTTTCGAATATATTTTTCTACTTTTTAGAAACATGTTTAGTTCTGAACTTGTTGTCTCGAAAACTCGCTATCTCGAATTTTTTTAGTGTATCTTCAACTTTGAGATATCAAGAGTATACTGTTCTTTAAAGTATGTATATTTTTAAAAATTTAGCAACCGCTATAAAACAATTTCCAGGTCATACATGAACTGACGTTGTTATTAATTATAAAATAAATTAAATTAAATAGAAATATTTTTCATCTTAAATCATTTGATATATCGGATGTAAAGAATCCGGGAATCTGGACAGAAAGGGCCGTAAGTGACCCCAGATGCTGGATAGAAAAAGAATAAATATATTGAGAACCACAGTATGGTACTCTCCATCTTCTCATGGGGGAGGAATAAATTATTTCCGCAGGAAAATACCAGGCATTTTCAATCAAATGGTTGTTGGTAACTGCTGTCGAGTTCAGTCAACTTATAAGAAAAGAGCCGTGGTTACTCAGTCGCCTTCCAATGAGGTGGTCGAAACGAATTCCTCACCCAGCTCGCACTGACCACAGTGATGACGCAAAGTATCCTCCGTGGTAGGCGAATCATGGATTTAAGACCTCTTGCCGTCGGTCTAACCATCTCCTAAACGTCCGAGGGTTATCATGGTTTTCCTCTCCGTGTAACGCAAATGTGGGTTAATTCCATCAAAAAATCCTTCATCAAGGCAAATTTTTTCCAATAGTTAATCCAGGAGTTTCTTATCTTCTGGATACGGTTCAAAATTACAAGGCTACGGAGTTGAACATTAGTAGTCGTAAACCCCAAAAATTGGGTCGGCTGTTCAACGAAGGTTATAAAATGAAGTAAAAGTGATACGAATATAATGATAAGAAATGATAAAAATGTAACGAGCATGCTGATCTGGAATGAAAAGACCATAAGTGACCACTGGCGATAGATATAAAAGAAATACTTACATTAGAGAACCACAGTATTGTATTCTCCATCTTCTCATGGGTGACAAATAATGCATTTGTAAGTTCCCGCAAGAAAAGACCAGACATTTTCCCTCAAATGGTTGTTGATAATTGACATGCTCAGCCAAATGATAAGTCGTGCCATCAGCCAATTTCAAATAGATCCAAGCTTCGGCTTCTTGGTTGCATCCTCTTGTGATGCGGACCAGAACACATTCCGCTTTTGAATTTATTCCGTAGAACAGTAGTTCATCTGCTGACTAAAAGAAACATCAAACCAATTTTACCGATAAACATTATTTAACAGGAATAAATTTGCACTTGTTTAGAGAAAGCAGATTTAATTTAGACTAAACGGCATTAGTTGGAATTTTGTTATTTGCGCAGCATGCTTCAATAGCTGGCATTATATTGTTTAGATTCTTTCTCGTAAGATTGGGATTAATGGATCTTACAGCAATTGCAGTGTGATCTGCATCTATGAGATAGTTCCTCTAATCATCACAGGTAGTGAAATCAGTGGTGAATATGAGATATAGAATTGAGGTATTGTATGATATTGATAGAATGAGATGTAGACAGATAGAGTTACAATATGCTTCCTTGCGGGACACTCGCATGAATTTGTCTTTTGTCTGATAGATAGCCATTAAGATTTATTTGGAAAGATCTATTAATGATATATGAATCAATAATCTTGATGATATCAAAAGGAAGGTTTTGTGCTTTTAGTGCGGTGATGAGTGCTCTATGCCAGACGCGGTCAAAGTTCAAAATAATAGAAATTGAGCACTAATATATTACAAATATCGAAATTTTATTGTTTCCGATGATAATAAAAGAGTAGGTTCAAATTAAAATTTCCAAATATTTTGTATAAACAAATGTGTTTATTAACATTAAATACAGATTTTTTTTATCAAAACAATTTTTTAATCATTAAGTCTATTGCTTTTTAATTACGTTTCATTTATTTTGTAAGCCATAATGTGATATTTTATTTTAGCAAGTATTTATCGTTTTCCCGTATCATGTTTCCGCAATGACTGGTCCCACGAGAAACGTTCGATCAAGGCACGATTAAACTCTAGAACATTAAAACTACTTTTAATTAAGTGTAAAGAAAACTTATTGCAGGAGCTAGCAATAACAGTTCAGACACAAGTTCTATTAATCGTAACAAAGTCAATTTAAATTATTAAAGTTCGAAATTTTTTATTTAACATGCTCCCTTATATAAAATAAAAATTGGTTACACAATTACTAAATTTTTGAAATTTTTCGTAAAACATCGTGATATTTGCTTATGGCGCTTTTATGTTATTAATCCAAAACTGCTTCTTTGAATGCAAAGTTCCGTAGTCATGAATAATTAAGGAGCCACAGTAGTAGTAAACAGAAGAAGGTATTCACACGATTTAAATGCAAATCTGTATTCATTTTTTCCCTAAAGAAACGCATATTTTCTCAGAAGATAGGACACTAATGTGTTAGGGAAATTGTTGTTGTTACTAATGCCACTTGCCAATATCAGCAAGTGTGCTTGAAATCAGGTGAATTTTTAAGGCAAAGGGTGGTCCTCTTGTTTTTCAGGGGTACCATATATGTGCAAGAATACAACTTCAGACACCCACACGTTTGTCAGGAAGGACCCAATCATATTCCATTCATTCATCCACAAATCGTAATTTTGACCTGAGCCAGAGAATGATCAATCTCCAATTCAGTACCCCCTGAGGTATTGGTTTATTATGGGAACTTGCTTGGACTTGGTGAGCTCGACAAATTTAACGTGCACCAGTTACCATTTAATACATTAGAATTCGTCAGGCGACTGGGTTCGAACTCCGTTCGCGCGAACACGAGTCCAACGTCCCATCAACCAGGCTATACCGGCCTTGTTATGGAAATAGCCTGACTCTTTATAATCTGATTGTCAAAAATTAAAAACTATTACTTTTGCTTAATCCACTTTAAATTTTAAAATTTTTCTTAATTAATAGTAAGCAACCACAAAATTTTGTTATTATGATATATAGAAGCACTGCATTCCGTGCTTTAAAAGTTTCAGCGCTTTCTTTTGATTAATTTTCACGATTAAAACGCTTGAAGTGTTAAAAAATTAACAAGATAGTTTATAATAGCTCTTACCTCTTGTAAATGGGTTTCCGATTGAGGTGATTCAAGCTCAGCCTCTACTTGAGGAACCAAAAATCCCACTTTCTCGGGATCTCCGATTGCATTAGGTTGATACAAATCAAATCTTCTTCTATGCGTTTTATAATAGGTTCGGAGTGCAAAATATGCGATAATCCATTTAATCCAATAAAGAATTTCTATAAATAAAGAATAAATAAACTCTATAGTTCGGATGATATAGCACTTCTTATCAACTAACTGAGAGTCCCAGATACAAAGAATATAGAAAGGAGTGGAAGTCCAATTCTTTCAATGCGTAACTATGCTCGTTGTGGTACGCTATACCAGAAAAACAATTTACAGGGTGACAAATATACTGATATTTAGTATAACATCATATGTATAGTTTGTCTACGGTAAGAACTACTCTGCCACAAAGTCTGAGGCCGTCTGATGCTATGGTAGCAAGAGTAGCGCATTTCAGGGAGGGTAGCTTTTCTTCCCTCTAAAACTAACATATTAAAAGAAAAGATTCCCTTTCTCTCACCGACCCGTGCCAAACAGTGACCCCACACCCCTACTTGAAATAGTTATACCTCGTTACCATAGTCACCACCACAGATCCACATGAATGGCTTGGGGAGTTCTTACTCTAGACAAACTATACCAAGATACAGCACATTCTAATAAGAAGTAAAGTGACAGTCAGAAGGTACATCACCCGTAAACCGATTGTTGGACAACTCTACATGCATGGTTGGGTACGCTTCCTTCCACCAATCGTCATTTTATTCTTTCATTCTATGTCAAAGTGTGTTAGCAAATATAATTAACATGGATGATATAAATGCATTTTCAAAGAAATATTCCAATTAATAGTACAGTACTGTTTATTAAAAGAACAGAGCTGCTCAGTAACAGAGTGAAAATGCAGCACAAACCAACAATAAATAAAACGAGAAAACCTTTCTTCTTCACCCCTACCCTTCCCCTTCCTTAATTAGTGATGGGGAGGAGAGGAGGGTGCAAACCCATTTCAAAAACCTCTGCTGTTGTGCTCCTAAATATTGTTTATAGACAAAGATAGCGCCTAACCTTAGGAGCTGGCTAACATTATGTCTATGGCAGCTAGACTTCTTCTCTTGTGTACATTATTTGATAGATAGGACAGACTTTTGGAAAAATCAATGAAAGAATTACGAAACAAGAAAGATGTATGCTTTACTATTATCTGTTTAGGAAACGAAATTTATTCACCAATAGATGATGACAAAAATAAGAATAAAATTAGGTTTTTCGAGCCTATCACACCTGTCTAAATGAAATATTTACTTCTGCATGCGTTACCTTTGTCCCCCGATTGCGCCATATCGTTGCTGCAAGTGGTAGTTGTTCTGAAATAAGTTTTTATAGCAGTGTCATTTTTTGGCAAACTTTATTATTAATTTTAAAATATGAGAAGAAAGATTTTTGTTTTTTTTAAAGAAGATCGCTTCATTTGTTATTTTAGAGGCATCTGATAGTATAAATCGATAATAATCGTTTAATACTTATATTGTATATTATATCTCCTTTTTTTCTTTCATTTACTATTTTCGATAATTTAATGAAAAAGACATTTTTGTCAGTTGAAAACAGTTTTTCATCAGTTGAAAACATTCATGAAACCGTTTTGTTATTTTAAAACATGTGTCAGAAATTCTGACTATAGCAGAAACAAATATATATTCTGAAAAAAAAACTAATAAATGAAAAACGCGTAAATTTTTTTTAATTAATGGCTGAGGTTTTTAACTGTTGCATAGCTAAAGATTATTGAGACCTAGAATGTGAAGATCTGATCATTAGAGTATAAATTATTCCGGGTGGACCGTTTATTTTTTTTTTCGCACTATACAAGCTCATAAAAAACGTATCAGGTTCATAGACATACATATGCACTTGTCTGTTTCATTGAAATTATTACATTAAGCAATATGCCCTTAACGTATCGCATCATAAAATAAAATGTATTATCCCCAACTTCCTACCACGCCCTACGTAGCAGAGAAGTAGTTACACTTTGTAATCAACAGAGTGAATTTTGATTAATTGAATCATGAAAACTGTAGTATGTACGGAGAAACCGATTGAGGATTTGAAATCAGTGACACGAAAATATCCTTCAAAAATCTCTCGTAACAGAAAATAAAAAATAAAAATAAAGTGTAAATATACTAAGAATTACACTTTATCAGAATTAAAGTCCATGAATTAATAAAGATGAAGTTTTGAGCTACCACAAAGAACGTGAAACAGCTTAATGATTAAAGTACCTACAAAAACTTTAATCCTAGAGTGATTTTTTATATTAAATGCATTCATATACTGTTTGTTTAAAAATAATAATTAAAATAGTATTTCTACATACCAAATATAAAAGAAAAGAAATACAAAATTGTAGCAATCAACATGATGTAAATACCACTTTTCCTTTCCAATTTATCTTACCATTGGTACTCTTTATATAAATAAAGGAATTAAAACATTGTTATTGCTTTTCATAGAAAGATAGAAAAAGTGGTGTAAGTATCATTTAATTGAACATAATAAGGAAATCAACTCTTTGAGTCAATGTCACCGGTAAATTCACATTGAGATTAAATAATAACATCGTAGCTTGGAGTAACAAAAATCAAAGACTTTTCTCAGTTAAAGAAAATACTTCTTTATAATTCAAAAATGGTAGTAAATTTTACGTTTTACAATTTTATTTCTTATTTAAGAAATTTGATTTACAATGAATTTGGCCGCTACCATATACATATCTGCCAACTCGTACGGTTTTTGAGAAATAATTATATAGTTAACATCATTGACTTTTTGGCATATTAAATCTTGAAATTTAAAGTTTCAAAGTAATTTTTTTAAACTTCCAAGACGAATCAATAATTTTTTTTTTAAAAAAATGTAGATAAGATCCATTTGTTGGCTAATTATGCTTATAGAGTCATGTATGCATTCTCAGGGTGGCGATAATCAGGGTAAAAAAAGATAAAACTGGTAGCTAAACTATTTTTATAGCAGTCTACTTGTGGGAGGGGAAATGATAGTTTGATTTATTTAATTCACCACTACTTAGTTCGCATAAAAATTTTAATGTTACATTTTTAACACGCATGGTTTGGATGTGTTAGATTTAAAGTCAAAGTAAAAATAAACCTGTCAAATTAGCTAAGCTCAAATTTTAGCTACCATTTTTTATTTTTCACCATACTGATCCTTACCAATACATTTATAACTCGCCCGTCACGAAAGGGTTAATAGTTTCGTATTTAGAAAATTGTTTCAAACTAAAGTATTGTTTTGCAACCACTTCGTAAACTCTTTTTCAATGACAGGACAAGTTGGCAGTTATGCATATACAGAGATGCTCAGGTGACTAAAAGTGTAAAAAGTGGTGATTAATAAAAACCAATAATTTATGTAAAAAGATTTAAATTAGTTACTTTTAATATCATATATAATTTCAGTTTGTTATTGATAGTGAATTCAATTTACATTCTCTCTTGATGTAAGTATAATTTAAAATGTAAGTCCTAGTTGCACGTACGATTGAATAACTAAAGAGGTAATAAATAAACAAACATGAATTGAGTTTCTACCACTTTTTACATTTTTAGTCGCCTGTGGCATCATCTCCTACATCAGAAAGCCTCCCCACCGTTTCTTATAGTCAGCGCAAACTGTTAAAAGTGAATCAGTTCTGCGCATGAACCCAAATTCTTTTGTAAAAGGAGACTTAAACTGAGAGGAGATTCGAAGTCCCAACCCGCGGAGCGAACACTCCACTTCTTCATACGTTGTAGAGCTATCGGGAGACTGAGGTACGGTTATTAATTGATAGGAAACAAGAGATATATCGGAAGCTCTGGATGACGTGAATTAGAACTTATTGCCAGGCTTTTTCTATGAGGAAGCGTATGTAGAAAATGTGAAGAGAAGAGCTCCCGAGCAGGATCAGATCACATCCTGCCCAGTGAGCTCTTAGATGTAGTATTGTAAAAGAAGTCGAGAGATATTTTTCATATATCTTTCAGCATTAAATTTGAGGGGGTTGAGAAGTAAGTAAGACAAATCAATCATATTCATAAAATAATCAAATTTTTAGAGATATATTTGTTACCGCTTTCTTAATTTTACTAGGTTTTCTGTTAAATGGCTCTTTTGTAAACTGCTTTACCTAAATAAAAATTCAAAGCTAAATCTGGTAAATAAAAGAACAATATACCTACAAGCCATTTGACCAATTCTTACCTACGCTAGCCCCGCGCTAACCAATCAATGATAATTTAGAGAAAAAATTGCCATACACAGAAGGCAAATTCTTAAGATACATGACTGGTGCCCCAAGAGCTATCAGCAACAGACTGCTAAGGAAGGATCTAGACATAGAAGAAGAAAGTAACTGCTTCATTGACAAACTCAACAGTAAATTCTATAGCGACGCTAGAAACTGTACGGCCTTGAATTTCAATCATCTGCTAGACATCAGCTTAATAGACGACAACATTAAATATAGCCCAGTAACAGCATTCCTCAAGTCAGATTGTATCATATCAAAATATTACAAATGATATTAAATATTACAAATGACCACTGTTTTTTAACTCTTATATACTATTGACTCTGGGGATCTCCCCCGTTAATTTTGTACCAGTATAAGCTTATTCCTTCATGACTTTTGAGCATAGAACAAACCAGCATAAAATGAATCGGTTGGTGGAGCTACGCACCAAATACCGAGGTACCCTACATATTCAACATCCAGCACTGGTTTACTTTCATAGTAGTACGATCGGACTACATATAAGAAACCGTGTGGAAGCATTGCCTGTTTCATCCCGTCATATGTATTAAGTTTCAAATATATAAGTTCTGTGAATCGAAACAGGCTGTGAAACTCTTAAATTTAACAAATTGGGATATTTTTAATCGTTATTTTGCTTACTCTTTAACCCCTTAGAGACGGGTGATTCAGAAAAGCATTCGTACAAAATCAGAATCAGGATGTAATTACATAAGGAACCGTAACTGAAATGTAGTCGTTTCTAATTTGACAGACTTACTTCGCTTTTACTTTAATCATTGTTAGTTAGTATTGTAAGTGGAATTCTTCGTAAGTTCTTAGAAATTACAAACAGTTTCGTAATTTCTT